ATGGAAGCGGCTTCTTGAATTTAGTAGGGATAGCTCTACCCAAGCCAGCAACCAACAATGTTGTGGACGTACCTAATGCTATTTCTAACCCGTAGTCAGCATTTTGCTTCAACAAGTATCCTGCAGTTCCGTACAAAATAGAAATAGTCCCACCTGCAATTAATGATGGTAAAGATCCTTTACGGGCGTATCCCATAATGCCTCCAACGGCACATAATCCTGATAAAGTGAATGCTGGATGTTCCATCTTGTTCTCTTAACTATTAAGCTCTAAAATGTTTATTAATTGTGAAAGAATAGTAGTATTAATTCTGTAGTGCTATACTTTTTGTTGAGGGAGGTGAAAACCTCCAACCGGTAAAATACCGGAATATTACAATACAGTGCACTATTACTTTAACACCAACCCCCGGTAAAATACCGGATATACTAATTCACTTTCTTTTACGCGGTTTAAAAGTTTTCAAACACCAAGCATTATTACTGGATGAATGGGCCCTCTACTAGGGGAGGAATTTGTATCAAGATATACTAGCTACAAATAATAACACTCTCATTACCGTAGTATATTCATCGGACTGATATATAGACACTGTAAGATATATATTTTATTGTTAAAAATTCCACTACTGGTATTCAGATCTTACCAGGTGTGAAATTTTAACAAACGGCCACTATATTAAAATAATAATGAGCGTTTAATAAATGGATAAAAGACGGGAAAAATTTTATTGCTATTGAGCTTCACGAAGCTAATTAGACAACAAGTTAAACCATCAATCAATTGTTTATTAAAAGTGAATTTGATATTGAATACATAATTAGTATGAATATTTCTTCTATGCTATCAAACGATAGTAATACACCTTCCCAGGACGTTGACGGGAACTTTGATGATAGTCAAAGGAATAATGATATAGGTGGCATTCAAGGCGCAAATAGCAAAAAAATAGGCACTGGAGAAGTAGACGACCATGCTAATGGAAATGCTAGTGTTGGGGGAAATGGTATTGCAAATCATGGATCGGCCACAAATGGCAATACCAGAGGTACCGATGATTCGGCTTCTAATGTTAATATTGTTGAATCTATTATACCGAAACCAATCAGGCCAACGCGTTCGAGTATAGAATCAGACGAAGAAGATGTTGGCAAGAACTACAATAGCATAATTTCCAATGACCTGGAACGTATATCCCAAAGGTATTTGGAGAATTTTGAAGACAAGGTAAATGCGATTAATAAGATAGATCAAGTGTTAATAAAGGGCAATAATATGAGAGTGTTAAATCAAGAAGAAGAAAACTTGAATACTCTTATCAAGAACTCCGGCGAAATCGCTGAAAATTATATTGACAGAGTGGTTACCGAGGATGTCTCGTCAAAGGCAAATATTTTGAATGGTAAGGATTCAGTGGGTAAAGAATTCAAATGGGGTTCTACTAGAGATACGAAAAAGCGTGAACTAGAATTAGAAGTCGATAATGCCAGTAAGGCAGATACAGCAGCCAAGAAAGGAGGAAATAAATCGAAACAAGGTGCAACAAAGTCTACTCCTGCTAAAAAAACAAAGGCCAAGCCAAAGAGAAAACAACTGGCAACTGATGATATTTCAGAGGAAAGTCAACTTGGCAAGAAAAGAAAAACTCGCGCAGGTTCAGTATCTGGAGCTTCTCAAAACGATGAAAAACTGGCTAATGGTAAAGTTAAATTAAAATTAACTTTGAAAGATCAAGCAGAGGAAGACTCGGCTAATGCAGATGCAGAATCAAAAGTAACAACGAAAGAACAAAAGATTATTACCAAGCAGTATGATAATACATTTGTTTCCATTTGGAAAGATTTATCTAGAAAAGATGGTCCTAAGGTAAGTAGATTGATGCAACAATCAACTCAAGCTAAAATGATTAATCTTAAAAAGACATCTATTTTGGCAGCGAGAGAAGCTAAGAGATGGCAATTAAAGAATAATAGAAATCAAAAGGATTTAACTACGAAAGCCAGACGTGCAATGAGAGAAATGTTCAATTTCTGGAAGAGAAACGAAAGAATAGAGAGAGAATTGCGCAAGAAGCATGAAAAAGAACTACTTGATAAGGCTAAGAAGGAAGAAGAAGAAAGGGAATCTAAGAGACAATCGAGGAAATTAAATTTCCTTATTACGCAAACAGAGTTATACTCACATTTTATTGGTAAGAAGATTAAGACCGATGAGTTCGAAGGAACTGATTCTGATCCAAATGTTAACTTTAAATCTGGTAATCATCATTATGATAAGTATTCTAATATAGATGGAGAAAGTAAAGATTTCAATACAATTGATTTTGACAATGAGGATGAAGAATCATTGAACAAGGCTGCTGCTGTTAACGCACAGATTGCATTGGAAGCAGCCAAAACGAAAGCGCAAGCTTTTGATAACGATCCTCTTAAAAATCCAGATACGAATGGTGAGGAAATGAATTTCCAAAATCCTACTTTATTAGGAGATATAAATATTTCCCAACCCGACTTATTGAAATGTACTTTAAAAGAATACCAAGTAAAAGGGTTGAATTGGTTAGCTAATTTATACGAGCAAGGTATCAATGGTATTTTGGCAGATGAAATGGGTTTAGGTAAGACTGTTCAAAGTATCTCTGTTTTGGCCTATTTAGCGGAAACTCATAATATATGGGGTCCATTTTTGGTTGTTACTCCGGCATCAACGTTGCATAATTGGCAACAAGAGATTAGTAGGTTTGTCCCCGAATTTAAAGTGATTCCATATTGGGGAAATGCCAAAGATCGTAAAGTGTTAAGAAAATTCTGGGATCGTAAGAATTTCAGGTACGGGAAGGACGCCCCATTTCATGTTTTAGTTACGTCTTATCAATTAGTTGTTGCGGATGCTGCATATTTTCAAAAGATGAAATGGCAGTACATGATTCTAGACGAGGCACAAGCTATTAAGTCATCGCTGTCCTCGAGATGGAAATCATTACTTTCTTTTTCATGCCGTAATAGATTGTTGTTAACGGGTACTCCAATTCAGAATTCTATGCAAGAGTTATGGGCGCTATTGCATTTTATTATGCCATCATTATTTGACTCTCACGATGAATTTAGTGACTGGTTCTCAAAGGATATTGAAAGTCATGCGCAGTCGAATACAGAATTGAATGAGCAGCAATTGCGGAGGTTACATGTAATTTTGAAACCGTTTATGTTGAGGCGTATAAAGAAGAATGTCCAAAGTGAATTAGGAGACAAACTTGAAATTGACATGTTCTGTGACTTGACTCATAGACAGAAAAAGTATTATCAAATGTTAACATCTCAAATTTCAATTATGGATTTATTAGATTCTGCAAATAATAGTAGTGACGACAGTGCACAGTCGTTAATGAATTTAGTCATGCAATTTAGAAAAGTTTGCAATCATCCAGATTTATTCGAAAGAGCAGATGTCAAATCCAGTTTCGCTTTTGGTAGGTTTGCTGAAACGAGTTCTTTTTTGAGAGAAACAAACGAATTGGAAATGTCTTACAGTACAGAAAATTTAATCAAATATAATATGCCACGGATAGTTTATGAAGAGATTTTGCAACCAACCTTTGATAATGACGTTGGATCTCGTAAAAAGATCAATAATATGTTCAATATATACCACCCATCAAACATTGCTAATGATGAATTGGAAAACTTCAGTTGGTTAAGATTCGTTGATCAATCGCCACAAGAGGTGAATAATTTATCGAGACAAAATATAATTGAAAGAGCTATCAACAATAGAGAATATTCAGATATAAACTATGAGAGGATTAACAGATTGAAATACACATATGATGAGGATAATGAAAGCTTCCTTCCTAATTCCAAGTTATTATTGATAAATGAATTACAAAACAATCATGCTTTGATAAGCAACTCTACTTATTTGAAAGAATTATATACAATTAAAAATAAAGTATACGAGGATATGGTTATTAACAACATGAAACCCGCAGCAGAGCCTTTCGTAAAAGCCCCTCCAGTTGCTGTTGTTTGTGATAATATATCCTTTGTGCATGATCTACAAGATTCCTTATTTGATTCTAAAATTAGGTCAAGCTTAATGCCATTACCATTCAATAGAGAATTAGAGTTGCTTAAGAGTAGCATTCCAATCACTGAATATCCAAAATCAAATATGCTTCCGAATACAATCAATAAGTTTATTGACTACTCTAATATAAGGATGCCATCGATGAATAGGTTTATTACAGAATCAGGTAAATTATCAAAGTTAGATGAACTACTCGTTGACTTAAAACAGAATGATCATAGGGTTTTAATTTACTTCCAAATGACTAAAATGATGGATTTAATGGAAGAATATTTAACATATAGACAACACAAGTATATTAGATTGGATGGTTCATCCAAGTTGGATGATCGTCGTGATCTTGTGCATGATTGGCAAACAAAGCCGGAAATTTTCGTGTTCTTGTTATCAACCAGAGCTGGTGGATTAGGTATTAACTTAACTGCGGCTGACACAGTTATCTTTTATGATTCAGACTGGAATCCAACAATAGATTCTCAAGCTATGGATCGTGCTCATAGATTAGGTCAAACACGTCAAGTTACGGTTTATAGATTATTGACAAGAGGTACAATTGAAGAAAGAATGAGGGATAGGGCTAAACAAAAAGAGCAAGTTCAACAAGTTGTTATGGAAGGAAAATCAGCAATTGCAAATAAGGAAGAATCTGGAAATAAGAAGAAGGATGTCGCTTTCTTATTATTAGGCAACGATGATTCGTCTGCAGCTGCTTTGAACGATGACAGCGAAGAGAAACAAGATTTACAGGATTCTAAAAAATCGCAAGCTAAGAATCTTGAAGATATGTATCATGAAGGAGAAGGTGAATTTTCTGGTAATGTTACACCATCTCTTTAGAGAGTTCCAATATATATGTACATACGTTCTTTTGTCTACAATGACTTGTAAAGTAATAAATAATTGTAAAAATTTTCTATGTATCTACTTTGGTACTCAAAGTATTTTCTAGTTCACTCAAAAATGCTTTATTATTTTGGTTTTCATTTTCGAAAGCTTCATTAGTATCTGTATTAGTTATAGTATTAGTATTGACATTAGCGTTCGAACTAAGGATATTCGTATTGTCGTTCAAAGTATTATCAACCAGTGATTTTAACTTTAGATTTTCGTTTTCGTTTTCTAGATTATAAATTCTGTTAAAGCTTTCTTCTAACTTTAATTTCAAATCTTCTTTAGAAAGACTCTGTTTTTCTGTTCCAACTCCATCATCAATACTACCATCATGATCATCGTCATAAGTAGTTATTTGTGTCGAAGCCAATAATTCCGATAATCCACTAATATTTGAATTCATTGAATTCAAAGAATACCTATTATTAGAAGAATGTTTAAGTGTATTAAGTAGCCTCTTGTGGCTTAAATTATTTGACAACGAATCTAACGCGGCTTGGTTATAAGATTCGTTGTAATTGTTAGATGAAAGCATGTTTAAATAATTATCGTCATAAGAAACTGGCCCAGGTATTTTATCATTTACATTTGCATTGCCATGTATTTGGGAGGGGTTCGAATCAGAAGAGAATCTATTGTTAATGACTTTACTTTTATGATTCGGTTCCTCAAATACTGTTAATAAGCCTAATTGTAGACCTGTCGATAATCGCTTGTATTGTGCATCTGATCCACTGGCCTTGCTATGTGATGATTTAGAAGGCAAATTCGAATCAGAATAAGTTGATTGCTGCATAGTAACACTAGGAATAGAAGATGGTGAATAGTGCATTGGCAAAGAATATCTCTTCTTAGAGGAATTGGAATTGACGGTATGGAAAGATTTTAAATTAAATTCTCCATTAGAATTCGAATTTCTCTTGGAAGACACAGATGACCTAGGCGAACTCTTAATTGATGACAAGTCGTTCGTCTTATTATACAATTCGTTGTTTAATTCACCTAAATTTACTTGATATAGTTCTTTAATTGAATTCAACTCATCACCAAACTGCTTGAATATCATAAGTTTTTCATTCATTTCATCAATGTTAGTTATAGATGAGATAGACTGATTATATTTCTTGAAGTAGGTTAAATTTGTTGTTATATTAGTTAGTTTATTAATCAAATTATTCATATTGGTATCAGTAATGGATTCAAAAGCTGAATGACGCGGTTGGTTGCTTATCTCCAATACATCCTTATTATTGATATCCTCTTGCCTGGAGTCGACTTTATTTATTTTTTCAAATCTTTCAAATATTAAATTAAAATTCTTTACTATATTAGTATGCTCTGCAAATAATTCTTCGACCACTAATAGTTTTTCAAAGAACAGGAAATCATTCTGCAAGACCTCATCGACTTCATATTCAGTTATATTAAATTGATCCCAGACTTGGAATAGAAAAAAACTTCTAATTGGTGATTCATTTACAGTTAGTAATTGGCATACTAGAAATTTTCTCAATTGATTGAAATTGTTAAGTTTAAAAGTCAATTCATCGATGGTTATTTTCTCAGTTGATGATCTATTAATTTCAATTGTTCCATCAGCCTCATACTTGGAATTCAATGTACACACATTAATATTATTTATATTGCAGTACTTTTCAAACATAGGACCGTTCAAAAAAGGCAATAATTTAATAATTGAACTCTTCAAGTTGAAATTTAGAAAATTTAAAGTATTATCAAGGTTTTCTTTTAGGTCATGTACTCTATTCTTTGATATTGACGAATTCTTCATAAACCCAAATATTTCCATTTCTTTCAAATTAATTAAATTCATTATTAGCTTTTTGTTGACTTTGTAATTATTTACTAAAAAATCATTTAGCATATTTAAGACCTTTGTAGATTGGATTTTCAAATTGATTCTTTTGAATTGTATAAGTTTAACAGAAATAATAAGCAAAATTTTGAACATCTTGAATTTATTTTGCCTTGACATTTTCGATTTAACACCTTTCAAAGACTGTTTTAATAGGAATATTATCATATAAATTGTCTGAATGAGCATTTCTGAATTATATAACTTATCCGAGAATTTCAATTGATATTGCTTATTTAGAATGTACAATTCAGTGCCATCAAAATTCAACGTCTTGACAAATTTTTTGCGGGTATCATTAGGGTTGTTTATGCTAAATTGCAAATTATTCAATGACTGTTCATTTTTCGACAATATCATCGAATCGTCCAACAAGTTTGATATTATTAAATTGTATTTAAACTTTTCCCAAAATTCATTCTGGATATTATTCAACGACAAGTACTTTTTTATAAACTTTTGGAAATTCTCTGTAGATGGACTCATCCTATGCATATTGTTTGTCATATAATAATACATGAAATCAGCATCAGCGGGTATTTCTTTCAAATAATCTAAATTCTCATTAAACAATGTGGGCGATGTTAATTCATGTATATTTCGACCATGTTGGTATGGCTGACTAAAGTTATGATTTGAAAATGATGGTGAAGATGTAGCCTCTTCAATACCCCAATCACTTACCTCTATTCCGTTATTAGAGAAATAGTTTGATAGAGGATTAAATCTATCAAAATTCATAATATTAAATCATCTAATTAACGAACGTAAAATAATGGTGAAAATGATTCCTTAGATAATAAAGAAAATAACTTCTGACAATAATTAAACCCCTAGACTATAGTATGATGTTACTTTCTAGTATCGTTTGATAACTAACATTTATTTACATTTGTTTTGGTTTTTAATTCCCCAAATGAGGTATGCACTCCATATATTATATGCAGTATAATCGTTTTCTGGAAAGAACATTCAACGGTTTGGATGGTAAGTAGCCATAGCATATGCAACATAAAGGGGTCATATCTGACTATTTGGCAGTTTGATATGTATAGATCATAGTCATTTTACTAATGGTTTTTTTTCTTCTGAAAGATAGGGTGCTTTAAAGTTTTTGTAACTACAAAATTACATAAAATGAAAGGCCGAGGTTGCAATTTAGACCGATAGCCATCGATCTTGAATGAGCACAGGATATAACAAAACCACATATATATATTTATATATCAGATGCTAATTCAAAATCTATGTCTAAATTAGGAATTGAAAAGAAGAAAAGTAAGAGGATACAGTTGATTAATTGGGGTTTTCCTAGAATTTTCCTAGCGTTCAGTTATACTTTGCATCCATATAACATCAATAAAGCCCTTAATCGACACCATGAAAACAGTTCTGACAAAGCTTGGATGATATTTCCAGAATATTTCTATAAATTATATCTCCCTTAGAGTACAGTCATTTAACTATGATATGAAATCTATAGTCAAGATCAATGAAATTTGTAAATCGTATGTTCAAGAGCACTATTACAAGTAAAATAAATAAAAATAATCAGGATAGTATATGGACATGAATATAAAGAGAGAATAAACGTCTTATACTTAAAGGAAACCCGGACCTGCGCCCAACCCACTTAACCAGTCATCATCCATTGACAAATCATTATTAAAAGACGTGGAATTTAAAATGCCTGAGCCATTTGTATCCATATTACCCAGCAGGGCTTGCTGCTGCTGAATGTACTTTAATCGTTCTTGCTGCAATTGATACTGTAAATTAAATTGATTCCTTTGCTGTGCCGTCAAATTAGGATCATCTTTCACGGCATCTACAGGATTGTTTTGAGCTGTATTTGGCTTGATTTCACTTGGAGTGCCCTTTATATTATCATTTGCGGGTTTATAAGGATCTGTACCCTTATTCTTCTGTTGCATCATTAATAGCTGCTGTTGTAAAAGTTGTTGTTGTTGCTGTTGTTGCTGTTGCTGTTGCTGTTGCTGTTGTTGTTGCTGTTGTTGTAAAAGTAATTGCTGCTGGTGCTGCTGGTGCTGCTGGTGCTGCTGGTGCTGTTGTTGCTGCTGTTGAGGGGGACGCTGAGAAATTAACAGAGGATTTGAGTTTAAATCGTTTGTTTTGGCTTCCATTTGGTTCGCCTGTATTGGTTGCAGCTGATGTGGCAGCTGGCTTAATTGTTGCTGTGGCAGTTGATGTTGCTGTCTTTGTTGCTTCATTAGCATAAACTGTCGCTTTTGAATATTATTTTGATTTTCCATCATTAACAAGTTCAATTGATAGTCATTAATGGCATCATTATTAACCGCTTTTTGTTGCGATGGACCTGGCTGAGAATGCTGCAATGGTTGAGCTTGCTGTAAAGGTCTTTGCTGATGTTGCTGTGGTATTTGAGGCTGCGGTTGCATTTGCGGTTGATTCTGTGGTTGGTCGTTTACCATTAACGGTGAATGCAACTGCTGTTGTTGAGCCTGTTGTACTTGCTGTACTTGCTGTGCTTGCTGCTGTTGTGCTTGCTGTTGTGCTTGCTGTGCTTGCTGCTGTTGGAATTGAAGCCTCATTTGTTGTAGTTTCAATTGTTGTTGATATTGAGCCATGTTCATATTCGAACCCTGTCTTAATGTAGGAGGCGGCATTGGATTTTTCTTCATATTAGCATTAGCTTGATTTAATGCTTGATTCAAATTCGGGTTAGCAGTTGCCTGCATCGTCCAGAGAGACGACCACCATTCTAATAGAAATGTGTCAGAATGATCCAAGGACATCTTGTAATCAACATCATCGACTTTTTCATTCGCTGATAACCCATTAGTCGGAACCTTACCCTCAATCAATAGAGATTTCGCCGACTCATCCATGCCATTGGCTCTTAAATATTCATACAAGTATGCTAGTAATAGCTGATGAGAATCCTTAGCAAATTCGTCACTCACCATATGCTTGTTAGCCCCGGCATGCGGCATGTTTTTCCGCTCATCATTCATTGGGGCATTTCGAATATTCTGTCCATTCGTAGTCTGATAGGGCAGGTGCTGCTGTTGCTTCTTTTGCTGCTGTTGCATGTAGTTATGTTGTGATGCTGTATTTGAAGTATTGGCAAGTGGAGACAAATTGAACTCCACGCTAATGCACTAGACAAACTATATCAATATCTCTGGTATCCCTAATAAATAACTAAAACTCCCAAAATGAAATATAATGTTCCTGGAAATAGTAATTTAAACTATATGCCGCTTTCCCTTTAATTAATATCTATTTCTAACCTATACGACAGTAGCAATATAGTAAAACCCTTCTGAGAGACTTTTATACTTTTTATTGTCAATGATATTATGAACTGAAATTCAATTTCCTTAGCCGCTGAGTTCTATTCTTTTAAAATTTCAACCAAAACCTACTCAATGGATTGTTAAAAGCGTTGATGCGGAGGATGCGAGGACTATCGAAGATTTCCAATATTCTATGTACAGGACGTATAAACTTAGTACTCCACTAGTAAATTAAACGAAATTGACTCGTTTGATAGAAGCTATCAATTAGTTCGTATGGTAATGTAAGCTAAGCATATCGTTTCACTAGTTAGCACATGTCTAATTTTTTTGCTTTTTCTTTACGAGTTTCTTCTTTACCCCAATATGAGAACCCGCCTTAGGTGCAAACTAAACCTAGTCCACAGACATTCTTAATTCAGAAATGTACTACTCTATCTGTATCCAATTATTCTTAATTTATGCTTATAAATGAACAGTATAGAAACCGAAATTCATGTGTAACGTCAAAGGTGGACGTAAGACGATCGTAACGAAAATAATGTTAACGGAAAAAAGATGCACCAAGTGGGTTAGAACGATAAGTAACAGGTCACTTAGAAATTAACAACATGGCTGAAATATAGATGACTAGTGTTATATCGGTTCACTACCATGGGAATGAAAATTGTGGAGGAGGGGTCCAATTTATGGAGTCGCATCTCATTAATTTTCAGACGGAGACTCAATGGGTACTATATAAAATGCAATGTACTTGAAAAATATTAGGGGATCAAGTTTACAGTTTCTCCTCCATGATTCAGTGATAAGTGGATGCCCTTCGATACCTACAACGTTACATCAATTTTTCACTAGGTTGATGCCCGATTCACACATTGATATCAGCCAGGATTTGATAAGCAGAGCATACGATGAGAAATTTTATCGTCAACTAAAACAACAATACTTTCAATCTAGAAAGCAAAAGATACTGGAAATACCTTTGTTCACTCCATATTTAACGAATGGTCGCTTTAAGGATTTAGTTGTGGACTTATATTCACCCTTCGTACCGAAGATAGCAAATCAACGCTTGTTTAGTAGTAATTCTAATAGCCTATTCAATTATTTGGTGAAGTATTACAAGCATTGTGCCCAACAAGGGTTTCGACTGAAGGAATTGAAGGAAATATACCAGTTGATTCATAATTATTCGGGTCATGCTTCAATTGGGCTACTCATGGATGCGAACTGGTTGAACTTTAATATAAACATGACAGACGTTCAGTATACCTATCTTTTTAATTTGAAAAAGCCTGAATCGCTTAATTTGTCATATTTCCAAGACTATAGATCGTTTGAAAATATCTATAGTCTAGATTATCAATTCAAGATTAATAGTTTATTGATAGACGAATTTTCTAATATCTTGTCCAAAAATAAAGCCGACAAGGTGATTAAGTATATTATAACAGGTGAGAATTGCCGAAACTTACAGTGCTTGGGATATAAACGTATACAGATTTCAGAAGACAAATCCAACGTCGAGGATTTGTTAGCTAAATACGTTATGAGCTTAACTAATTTTGAAATTCAGCTAAGTACGTTATTAGATATTTATCAAAGTATATTGCTTAAAGATGTTATTGTGGTGAATGATTTGGAAGAGTTATCTTTATTATTGAAGGTATTGACATCGATGATAAAAGCAGATTAGCTTGAAAGTCTACACATAGCAGATTCTTGGCCAGATAATAATAATGTACTTAAGAATAATCATGCTCAACATCATCTCATTTGTCGGCTACAGATAAGCGAACTAAATTAACTTTTAATAATATATACGAATTTTATTGATGCAATTTACTTTAATTTTCCTTTCCTATTTACCCATATACCGAGCGTCCCACTATTACTTTTGAATTAATTTTTTATGCTAATAAATGCTCATCCCTTCCTGAAATATCCGAACGGTAAATCTGGTGATATCCCACTTTTAATTTCTTTTGCCTTCTCTTGCAAGAACTCGGGAGGATATTCTTCGTCATCAAATATTGGTTTTAACCTACGTGCTCTATGGTTGTATTCATAATAGATTCCATGAACCATTAAATTATCCAATTTAAAGAATATCATAGATAAATATTCCAATATTGGCTTTAATTGATGAACAACATATGTTGTCGCTAAATTGTCAATATTCAACTTACTTTCCCCATTGAGGTCTTCCTTTACATTACATTTGCAATTGGCTTCTCCGCGATGGAAGTGGTTATGTAGCGTATGGGGTTGACCTTTATAAATCGGATAATTTTTATAATTAAACGTTGTTTGTTTTATAGGGATACACACTTCTCTGTCGGCTTGGAGTTTACCTAAAATGAAACCAATCAAAATATAAAATGTAGCTTCATCATTCATTTCTTGAATTTCCTCATCTTCATTCAATGGAAAAAATAAATCACTTAATTTATCCAACACTAATGAACAGCCCCAACATTGACAAGTATGCAACAATGATTCATAGAATGCCGGTTTATAGTAAATAAAAGATGTTAAGAAGTCAGGTAATTGTAAAGTTTTCAAATTAGAAATTATTCTCAGGTGGTTGGAAGTAAAAAAGCAAAGGAAAAATGCTTCCATTAATCTTTCATTTAGTTTATTTAACACCAAACTTGACATACCCATACTACTATCGAACATCTTAAATCCAGGGGTAGAAAAGTCTATTGTCAACCTAGATAAATTACTCAAAGTCTTAACAAACCCCCCTAATGGCGTCAAGATATTCTCTAAGATTTGATGAGGTCTTAGCCATTCTAGATTTGGAAACAACTCTAATTCAAAGCTTATCAAATTTGGTAGACCCCGTTTTGAAATCAGATAAGCTGCCAAATCTTTGAAGAACTTCGAAAAACAGTTACAATTATAATTCCTACGTTCAACGCAGTCTATCTTTAAGTACAAGTGAGTTAGATAAGTCAAATCAATCTTATCCGATACTACCTTAAACTGTAGGCTCTTTTCCATATCTTTGACGTAATTTTGGTATTCTAAATCATGCTTATGATTATTACTAATCGAGTTAAATATGTCATTTTCATCTGACATTATACTTTCGTTATGGCAATGAAAAACAGTTAGTCCTTTTAACTTTAATTTTGAATCTTCGTCATTATTGTTGACTAAACTTATTTTTCTTAATATCTCTAAACCAAACTGATTATTTGTACTGCAAGTTAATGTGAATAAGGAATTGAAAACATCATATGGAGGATTTAATAGATCAAATCTGTCAATAGACATTATTTCAACTTCATCTAACATAAGAAACAAATTTGTTAATCCTTGCGGTACTATCGGCATATATAAGTCCTTACAACTTGTCACGAATAATTTGAAGATTTTATTTCTGATGTTTTCATGACCTAAGAATTTAGTCAATTTCTCTATGCCTGTAACGAAATCCACGAAAGTAATGTGTAAGAAATTCATCTCGTACGAATTCTTTCCAAAAAAATCAATTATTTCTGACTGTATAAGACTTAAGTCTTGTCCCTGTTTCAATAAATTGTCAGAGTAGCATTTATCAAAAACGAAGAATTTGACTTTCTGAATAAGGTAGGGATTCACATGAAGCACTTTTATGAACGTTAGCAATTTTTCGATGGAAACGATTAATGCAGAATCCATATACTTTATTCCGTTTTCCCTGATAAATAATTGCGAATTTTTGTTGTACCTGACAGGGTACTCGGCATTCAATATGATTGTAACCCTTTTGTATAACCTTTCAATAGCAATACTGTAAAACTCCATACATGTTAACAGTAGGTTAGCCAAATCGAACTGGTCAACATGTTGGAATACCTCCGATACCAAATTTGACGGCAACTTTTTCAATATTGAATCTTTTGGTTGGTTAGTCTTCTTATTGCATAACCCACTAAAGTATGAATTTCGATATTGTTCTTGCGGTTCCAACGCCAATATAGGATACTTAATCGGAGATACTGTTACTACTGGATTTAAATGGCTTGTCATTCTTCATAACTGTAGTTATCTTTTATATGGCCCTTATTTGAAATGTCGTTAATAAAGACGCTGATCTAGTAACAGGGCAATCAAGACTATGATTACAATTAATTGAGGGTACACGACCTTGTTTAGTAATGGCTGCAACTTTCGGATAAAGCAAGTATTATGGAACAGGACAAATAGCTATATGATGGTCATATTGTAAATTTTGGAGTACATAAAAAATTCTATGGATACTATAAATTATAAATGTGTACCCAAATTAACGTAGATTGCTTTGGCTTGGGTATACATAGATAAACCATATTCACCTAATTCTCTACCAACCCCACTCATTTTCACCCCACCAAAAGGAACATGGCAATCTGAATCATTGGAAGAGTTTATCCAAACCATACCAGCTTGAATATCGCTTGCCATGCTATGAGCCTTGGTTATATTTGAGGTGAATATTGCTGCACCTAATCCATATTGTGTTTGATTAGCGTATTTTATAGCTTCTTCGTCAGACGCAAATTTTCCACAAGTGACGACCGGCCCAAATATTTCTTCATTAACAATTCTCATGTCTGGCTTTACATCGGCAAATATGGTAGGTTTAACAAAGAATCCTTTCGACATTTTCCCGTCGGAATTTTTTTGACCGCCTAAAATAACTCTGGCCCCTTCTTTCTTACCGATATCAATGTAAGATAAGATTTTATCAAATTGTTGTTTGGATACCTGGGGACCTACAATTGCATTCCTCTCAAACATATCGCCTTGTACATATTCCTCTTTTATATGTTTAGCGTACATTGTTAAGAACGTATCATAGATGGATTCATGAACATAAACTCTAGAAGTTGAAGTACAAATTTGACCTTGGTTGCTCATGATACCGATAGCAGCCCATTTGACAGCTTGCTCCAAATCTGCATCTTGTCTCACAATCAATGGAGACTTTCCACCACACTCTAAAGTTACTGCTTTCAAATTGGAAGAAGCCATCTGTTGTATCAACTTTCCGGTAGCAGTTGAACCGGTGAAGGCTATTTTATCAACATCTAAATGCGAAGCCAAAGCTTTTCCACATGTTGCACCGTATCCTGATAAAATATTCACAACACCTGGTGGAAATCCTACATCTCTGAAAAGTTTTGCCAAATACAAAATCGACAAAGGAGTCACTTCGGATGATTTCAAAACCACAACGTTACCGGCAGCCAACGCTGGAGCCAACTTCCATGCAGCCATAGCCAAAGGGTAATTCCAAGGAATAATTTGTGCACATACACCAAATGGCTCGTGAACAGTGTACGCCAACTTTTTTGGATCATTCTGGATCACTTTTCCTTGAATTTTATCCGCCCATCCGGCAAAATATTTAAAGCAATTGATGCATTCATCAATATCATACACGGCATTCTGTTCTTTGGTCTTTCCCGAATCCCAAGCCTCAATGGCACCAATTAGATCTCTCTGTTCTTGCAAGACCTGGGCAAACTTGTTGAGTAAATCACCTCTCGCAACACCCGTAGTCTTCCTCCAGACAGTATGGAATGAATTCCTAGCACATTTAACCGCAGAATCAACGTCGTCCTCATCTGCGGCATAAACAGATCCATTGATTTCACCAGTTGAAGGGTTTATCGAGTCAATCGTATTCCCTGATTTGCTCTTTACAAATTCATTGTTAATGAATAACCCCGATGGTTGACTAAATTTATTACCGTCAGGTAATGTAACATTGTATTCAAGTGGTAATGACATGATATATATATTGGTATTAAGTAAATTGTCTTATAATTGAGACTTCAATTGACTATAGTACGACTTCTTCACTGTATTTATGTCCTTTCTTATCTATACAGTACAGTTTTTCATCTAAGCGGAAGACGCTCATTTAGGGAACTAGATCCGAAAACGAACTGTGTCTATATCACTACTCTCTCCTCCTATATTACGTCCAAATCACAAATTCGAAGGATAGCATTATACGTGAATTTATTATGACGTATAAATAGCTATCTTCGATATATCTGATTTATTGCTCATCTGATGGAGAAAGTGATAGCGCATAAAATTGTAGTATGTGACTAGTGACTACTATATCGTAATCTTATACCAGATGTAAAATGATAATAAGCCAAAGGTCGATTTAGTAAACCGACGCCGAAATTTAAGTATATGTAGTAGTGTCCCAATGCTTTTCTAGTGACTTTGCATATTTTGTTTAAAAGGGGGCAAAAATGTAGCTTTTCAATATCGTGCCTCACTCATATGGCTTACAAAACGAATTGAATTAATTCATCTTTATCTATACATATCGAGTTGACATTGGGAAGTAAAGATATATTCAAGGGTAAAATAAGCAATATGGATTTCTCCAAATATTCAGACATTAGTCCAGCGCACAATGAGTTTAGAAGTGATACATTTACGACCCCAACATTATCTATGGTTGCATCGCTAACGAAGGCTACTTTAGGAGATTCTGTTTATAACGAAGATGATTCTACAATTGAATTGGAAAAGAAGGTTGCAGACATGACTGGGAAGGAAGCTGGTCTATTCTGTGTAAGTGGGACGTTATCTAATCAGATCTGTTTACGTGTTAATTTAAAACAACCACCATATAGTATACTATGCGACTATAGGGCCCATGTATACGTGGATGAAGCAGGGGGGATGGCAACATTATGTCAAGCAATGGCACAGCCTATTAAACCTAAGAATGGTATTTATTTAACTTTAGAAGACGATATATTGCCAAACTTCATTCCTGATGATGGGGAAATCCATGGCGCTCCAACAAAGCTTATCTCTTTAGAAAATACTTTACATGGCATGCTTTTTCCCATTGAAGAAATTGCTAAAATATCCAAATTTTGCAAAAATAACGATGTCAAGCTTCATTTAGATGGTGCCAGGTTATGGAATGCATCAATTGCCACAGGGATTACTTTAAAAGAGTATTGTTCGTACTTTGATTCTGTTTCCTTATGTCTTTCAAAGAGTTTGGGGGCACCAATCGGTACAGTATTAGTTGCGGATAAAAATTTTGTTAAGAAGGCCAATCACTTCAAGAAGCAAAGTGGTGGAGGAATTAGACAATCGGGTCTCTTGGCTACTATGGCGATGACCGCTATTGATGAAAACTTTGGAAAGATACAAAGGTCCCATGATATGGCCAAAGAACTAGGCAAACTATGTGAAGAAAATGGAATTGTCTTAGAACACCCAGTTGACACAAATTTTGTCTTTATCGACTTCGCTAAAAACAAAATGAGTTCTTATGTTTTAAATAAATTGCTGAAAGAAAACGGTATCAAGCTATATGCTGGTAGAGTTGCTTTCCACTACCAGATATCTCAGGAAAGCTTTGAAAAATGCAAAGAAGTAGTGCTCGAATGTTATAAAGATTCATTACAAAACCCTTACATTGGTAAATCATCTTCTATGTATTACCAAGCCAAATAGGTTTCTAATATTTTAGTACACTAGTAATTTTAGATGGTATCTTTCATCCTATATCATAAGTAATTCTTTTACAATATATATGTTAACTGCGCAAATATTTGTACTTTATCGCAATGAGAAAATACAAGCGGTGTTTATTCTCTATTAATGGCTTCCAACTATAAATTATTACTGGAGTTTGAAAACTTTGTAGGAGCTTCTAGAGACATCAAGGAACACTGTGTACTCTTATTCACTACAAATGCTAGCACAACAGCTTTGGTGGATTACTTGAACGATGATTTTAACTTTGAAATGAGCTTGAGGCTATTAAACCTAAAAGATCAATTAGCAGTAAAATGCCAGAAGAATGCTAGCCGCCGATATAAACAGTTGATCAACAGGTTGTTTGCCAAATTGATTTTGAACTACATTCTCTATATTTACGATCCTAAGGGTGAATTTCAACCGTGGAAAGACTTAGAATTTTCATATAATGAATTTGGCAAACCATACTTGGCACAACAAGACTTGTATAAATTTCAGTTTAATATGAGTTCTTCAAATGATATAATAGGTATTGTTGTTGAGTTGAATGCTCCAGGTCCTATCGGCATAGATTTATCTCATTCAAGACAAGCCATATCACCCACAAATTTTCTTGAAGAGTTCAAACCAATATTTGACCCAATAGAGATAGATCAATTGCTTGAAATTAAAGATATTTCATATAGATATATAATATTCAATCAATTGTGGACTCTAAAGGAGGCGTTCACTAAATTTTTGGGGAGCGGATTGAATATTGATCTATCAAAATTTTGCTTCTTGTTGAACAAGTCAATGGTTGATGACAACATTATTTCTAGTCACGATAACGACTCGCTCATTTCTAAGTTTGAAGTAGATTGGAAAAGAAATATAGGTTTGAGTGTATGTAAATTATCAGACGAGGAAAATCCATTTCTCCGTCGATTATCATCTCACCATTTCAATTGCTATTCAGGGGTATTAACTAAGTCTACAAGCGATGGTTTGCCAGTAATTGTGTCAATTATAAATCAAAATTATCATGGTGAAAAAAATACGGTTTCGAATAACTTGAATGTTGATTTCTTCAGTGTTCTATCTAACATATAATAGCCTGGTCGCTGGCCTACAATTAAATGATTCTAATAAAATATAAAATATATTGGTTACTTAATAATAACACATAGTTGAACAAAATCATAGAACATAAATAATCTGGGTTTAAATCACTTAGATTAATAAACCACCAACGACAACAGCAGCGGCGGCGAAACCGTAACCAGCAGCGTGGCTTAAGCCAACAGCAGCACTATCAGCACTAGAACTGGAATCTGAGGTAGAAGAGTCAGAAGATCCTGAAGATCCAGATCCAGATCCAGAGGATGAAGAATCATCAGATGAAGAAGATCCTGAAGATCCCGAAGATCCTGAAGATCCTGAAGATCTAGAAGCAGAACCGGAAGATTCAGAAGATCCTGCTCCAGAAGATCCAGATTCATCAGATGATGAAGAAGCATCAGAGCTAGATGATTCAGAATCGCTAGAGTCTGAGGAAGATTCAGCTCTGGCAACTAACTTTGCTGCATCTGGAATTGCGAATTTGGCGTTGATGGATGCGGCAACAGTTAAAATGACTGCTAAGGTGGAGGTTCTCATTGTGGTAGTATTATTTGTTATAAATTCAATACTACAAGTCTTCCTTTTGGCTTTAATTTTCTTGATAATTTAGTATCTATTTATATTATTTGGTTCCCATGCATACCTAGTTAACATATATCTCCAATGTTGCTATTTCCCGTGGTATATACCATCTCAAAACTAATATACCGAACACACCTCCTGAACCACGTATGAACAAAGCTATTTTATTGTTAGAAATCGCTACACCATCACTAGAGATTGACTAATGGCTTAGACAATTTCTAAATTAGACTTTAGATAATGCACCTTCGCTATGACCAAGCCTTAAACAACGTGCTTGTATTCACAAAACAAGGTAATACCATCAGTATAATGGAACAATTCAGAATGAAATGTTTAGTATGTTACTACCTAGAGCACGTTTCCTGTTCATGTTTTTTGTATTCGTAGATTTTCGCAACCTATTTTCACCCGCGTGGTGCATTCTTTCAGACATGTAGTATCGCAACCCCTAAACGTGAGTTTTTGGCACCCATAAGAACCTTGTGACACAATGACAGCATCATTACTCCAATATAGTATTATTATTATAATCCTCGAGTCTCAGCCGCAGTGGCCTGCTACCAGCGTTCCAGATGTTAAACCGGAAGCGGATACCAGTGCAACTATCTACCAGAGTTGACTTCGTAGTTGTTACCGAAAGCATTTCAGGCGGCAACATTGTTACTACTGGTCATCAATGGAATGATATATCCAACTTCTATACAAGCAGCGAGACCACGGCTGCTAACATGCCACCTACCAAGCCAAGGTGATTGACGTTAACAAAATGCGCGTCACCACTAGAAGTAGCCTCTCCTGACTTCTGTATAAATGATGATAAAATTGACGAGGATTGTGCCGAAGACAGCGACAGTGAGTTTGATGTACCATTTGAAGATGAGTTGGAGCTTGAATAGGCCATTACTGACGTGATAACAGGAAATATGCACAATGTATTGGAAAGCTTCATTGAAAACGTGATTTGAATTGACGGAATTAAATGCAGCTACTACCAATAATGATATTCACCTAGAATTGGGTCGGATAATGAAGAAAACAGACATTTATCACACTACTAGTTACCAAATCCTATCTTTTATATTCATTTTAGTGCAATTATTTAAGCCATAATAAAGGCCTTATGAGCCATGTTTTTGCACTATGTTGAGGCTGTAAGTAAATTCGGCTTTGAATCCAAAAAACACAGCCAATATTAATATACGTTTTCTTTTTTTACCTAGAGAATGCGTATCAGACAGATTTTGAAATCCCAGAATACCGAAATAAGCCATAAGGAGTATCTAAACAGCGAAAGCCTTACGTATAATCCTTTAATCCAGGCTTTATTGTAGGAAAATTATTGCAAAAATGGCCTACAATTTTGGCGCGGTTAGTGCACCACCTTTTTTAAATCTTTTCGATAATAGCCTATCTTTTTGACCAGAACGTATAGCAAAGACCTAATATGAATATCATAAAAGATGGAGGCGAAATTCCTTTGTTAATAGAAAAGCACGAAAAGTATTTTCGCTTGTGTATGCAATCGTTGCCATCAAAGGCACAATCAGAAGATTCAAATCGATTATCGTTGATATATTTTTGTTTACACGGATTGGGTATACTAGGTAAATTGAACTTGACCGAAGCTGAAAAGAAAGCATATGCGACACATGTATACGCACATCAGATAATAGATCCATCAAGGCAGATTGAGTCATTCAGGTCAAGCCAAACATTTCAATTGGCTGTTGAAAACGGGAACTATGACTTACCCAATTTATCGGCTACCTTCTTTGCATTGATCAACTTATTAGCATTGGAATCGGACTATTCAGTGAAGTTAAATAGGCACAAAATAATGAAGTTTGTAAGCAAATGTCAGGTTACAGACGGACCTAATAAAGGAGCATTTAAACCTGTCCTAGATAAGGACGGTTATCCGTTTGGTGAAGTTGACTTGAGATACTGCTATATTGCGGCCAGCATTAGGAAATTATGTAAATACGATGAACTACCAGTTAGTGAAAGGATGAATGACTTCAATGAGCAAGACTTAGCTATCTTTGTCCTAGATCGGGTTAACTTTAATGGGGGCTTAAGTTCCAACAAATTCACAGAATCTCATTCGGGTTTGACCTTCTGCGGTATTGCTACTTTAAGATTATTGGAGTATGACTTCACTAAGAATATACAGTGGGTTGAAACAACCAAGAAATGGCTAGTTCATAGACAGATAGACTACTCATCTCCAGTATATAAGGGCCAATCCTATTCTTACTGGATAGAGGAAGATATTGGAAGTTTCAATGGGAGGGAAAATAAATTTGGTGATACTTGTTACTCCTGGTGGTGCTCAGCCAGTTTAAAACTATTGGATCCAAACGGTCTACAACTAATTAATACTGAAAAAGCGATTGAGTATTTATTAGGTGCTACACAGAGTCCATTATTGGGTGGTTTTGGTAAGGATAGTGAATCATTTCCTGACCCCTTTCATTCATTCCTTGGATTATCATGTTTATCGTTATATAAATCCTGTGAAAAGTACAACTACGAAGGAGAAGAAATTCTACAAGAGATGGATGAAACATTAGTCATCACCAAAAAACTGAGGGAGTTCCTTAACTCTCATATCCAATTCTAAGATCTACTGGTAATAGGAATCTATTATATTTCCCATGATTGTATGTCCTGTATATAGATACTTTCACCGAAAGTAGCATAATATCATTCAACGAACATACTTCAACACTTAATATTCTACACATATTTACAATTAGATATAGAAACAATTAGAAGCATTTGTATACTGTTTTGTTGAATAGAGAGGTATAATCGTATTCATCATTTCTCGAGTAATTTTCAAGTGACCTCATTGACATCATTGAACTGACAAGTGAATTCAATTTACGTTCGATCCTTGCAAAGTGTCCAATTTGTTCCAATCCTAATATAACCACCTATAACATTTCCTAATGGTTTCCGATGTTTCCGAATTATCAGAGACCGCACCAGAAGTGGTTGTTCAGCAACAGCCACAACCCAAAACTTTGACACATTTGATTTCGGGAGCATCTGCTGGATTAATATCTGCCATTTCGTTACAACCATTTGATTTATTAAAGACGAGATTACAACAGCAACAGCGGTCTAATATAAAGTATAGGACAACTATATCTAAAGAATTGAAAAAATTGAGCCATATTAAGGACTTGTGGAGGGGTGCATTGCCCTCTACTTTGAGAACATCAGTTGGAGCAGGTCTTTACTTTACTATATTATCATCCGCTAGAAATGGAATATCAGACTATAAGAGAAGTTCGGATAGTGTATCAGATACAAGTGTATTGCCCAAATTGTCGCCATTCGAAAATTTGGCTACTGGGTTTATTGTTAGAGCAGTAGTAGGTATTATTACTATGCCTATAACTATAGTTAAGACAAGATACGAATCCAACATGTACAACTATAATTCTATGTACGAGGGTTTTGAAAACATTTATCTAGATGGTAACCAAAAAGGACAAGGTTCGTTGAAGAATTTCTTTAAAGGATCATTCGCTACCTTAGCTAGAGATTGTCCGTATGCTGGTATGTATGTTTTATTCTACGAATCGTTTAAAAATGATATCTTGACGAAGATTGTGCCTCCGATTAATGAAACCGAAAATGGTCCGATTACGAGGTCAACTATTATAAATACCAGTGCTGCGATATTAGCAGCTTCTGTATCTACTACCATTACTGCTCCGTTTGATGCCATAAAAACAAGACTTCAATTATCTTCTATTGTGTCTTCTAAAAAGATGACATTATGGTCTGCTACTAAAGATTTAGTTAGAGAGGACGGTGGTGTCAAGAACCTATTTAGAGGCTTGTCGTTAAGATTTGGAAGAAAGGGTTTATCTTCTGGTATAAGTTGGTGCATTTATGAAGAATTGATTAAATCTAGCTTTGCCCAGGTAATTATAGCCAAATCTGACAAAAAGCTTGTATAATTCCTTGTATATATTGATTCTTTATTTATAAACATACCAATTATTGAACTTGTGCGCTTACTCTAGCCGAATGAAGCCTCGGAACCTCTTTTTTTATGAGTCGCACCCCCGCTCATATTAATGACTTAATATAAGCGTAAAGATTATCAACGTAGAACTTTAGTATATTGTATTTTATTAAGAGTGATGAACGACGAACTAATTAACAGTGCAGTCAGCTTTTTAAAGGATGCAAATGTATCTTCTTCTCCTTTGAACAAAAAGATTGAGTTTTTGGAATCGAAAGGACTTAATGAACAAGAAATCGAAGAGGCATTAAAACGAGCTAATGGACAAAGCTCGTCAAATCAGACAGCTAATCAACAGCAGTTAACACAACCACAACAACAGCAACAGACATTGCCATCGCAGCCACCTATTGACTATTACAGTGTGGCAGCACCTCAAGTTCCAGAAAGAACATGGCAGGACTACTTTATCATGGCCACGGCTACAGCTGGGGTAACATATGGGTTATATCAAGTTGTTTCAAAATATTTGATACCTAGCATTATTCCGCCTACACAGAAATCTATCGATGATGATAAGGCTAAGATTGATGAAGAGTTTATTAAGATAGACAAGTTATTGGAACAAATGTCGATGGAACAAAATGAGATCAAGGAATCGAACGAATCGAAATTAAAAGAAATTGATATTGTCATCGAAAATGTTAACGATTTCCTTTCCAAATACAACAAGGACAAGTTGAAATTCGATGACGACTTGCGGTTAATGAAATTGGAAATTGACAATTTGAAAAACAGCATTGAAAAGAATATGCTGCTGACGAAAGAAAATATCAGAGACGAGTTGAAAGATATTAATGAAGAATTGACATCTTTGAAGCAATTGATTAAGGTAAGGGCTGAAAAATCAGCTTCAAATGATTCTGCTGGTCCATCAAGAAAGATTGCCCCTGTATCTTCAATCCCATCTGCGTCGGAGATTTTAAAGAAAGCCAAAGCAGGAAGCTCTAATGATGCCAATAAGCCCAAAAATTCCAGTCCTACGCTCATGTCTGAGAGTTCATCTACAGGTTCTGGTGCAGCTGCTACTACTACCACTAGCGAGCCACCTAAAGCTTCGACATCTCCTAAGACTGTAGTTGCAGCTGGTATACCAGAATGGCAATTGAAACACAAACAGCAAGAAGAAGAGGAAGAAAAAAACAAGAAAAGTGAAAACGATACTAGCCCTCCTAATTCGGACTATAAACCACATACTGATCCTGGTACCAATGATGATGTTGTCAAAAATAGTCTTGCCAATGTAGGTGTTCCTTCCTGGCAATTGAACTCTAATACTAAATCCAGTTCTAAGCCGGAATTAAACCCATCAGATAATATTCCTTCGTGGCAATCCAATGCATCTACCTAAATAAAGTAAGCTTTTCTGCCTAATATTATAGTTAAATATTTTTTCATTTACTTATATACTTTTATGTATTCACGTGTAGATTCTTTAATACCGAAGATTTGGCGCGTTGAAAAATCGACATTAATTTGATGTTTAGTGAATACCTCTCTTTTACTAAAACAGAACCAATTAAGTATTATAGCAAGATTAAATAGTAAGTCTTGTTGAGGTGCATAGCTATTGATATTACATTCGTTTAATTCCGTTCATTTATTTTCTTTTTTACCTTTGTTTTGCTTTATTTTCTTTTCACAACAATTTTTGTTCACATTATCTTTTTACAGCATTTTCAAGTTCTTTTTTCAGTTTGATTCAATTTGGATTTGGTCAGTTTGATTTATTGTGTGGTTATAAGTAAAACGTATAGAATAGGCTTTTTTATAAGAAGAAGTTTTTGGGTATTTGCATTTTTGTCTTTTTGTCCATTTTAAAGATTTTCATTTGAACGAGAGTCGAGTCCCATAATAAAAAATAATTGCATAACATGTCGTCATCTCTATCGACAAGTTCCACTACAACTCCTACTTATGCTAAGAGGAAATTAGAATTGGTTCCGTTCAATAGTCAATTGGAAATCATCGATAAGGCTATTTTAAATGTTTCCAAGACGCTGCTGAATTCTAATCAATATACCAACGTCCACCGCTCTGGTTACAATAATAACAGTGGTAATAATAACAACCACTCACACAATCAGAATCTGCAAAACAAGTATGCTTTGGCTGCAGTTGCAGCTGCTGCTGCTGTTCAACAACAACAGCAAAATTATATGCTTCAACAACAATCTCATCAACAATCTCATCAACAATCTCATCAACAATCTCATCAACAATCTCATCAACAGCAATATAAAGATATCAATCCATATATGTTCCATGGGCAGGGTATGGGCTTCAGTAAAGACCAAGGCGAATTGTCCTCTTCTTCCTCATTGTTGTCAGAGAATAATGCTCCATTACCCTATGATTTTCAGAATAATTTCATGACTTCAAACGGAAGTAATAATTCGGTCACATCTCCCACAGCTGGACAGCTAAATCAACTGCCAGCTACTGATTCCCAAAAGCATGCACTTCAATCACATATTCAGCCTCAGCTTCAAAATCTTTCTCAGCCTCCAATGCCTGGTTTTATTTTTGATCCTATGGCTTCTGATAATAGCAAAATCAATTCCAACTCACCAACTTTGTTGCAGCCTCAAGCTACAGCTTCTTCGAATAAAGGTAGTAGCAATTCACCCCCAAACTTATTCTTGTCCAATTCAAGTTCGGGAGCAAATGCTGTAAATTCAGTCAACTCCAATAATCCTGTTACAACTAACTTTTTGGAGTCACCGTCTTTATTATCAAGTGGTAAGAACATTTCAAACAACTGGCCTGTTAATAGCTCAAATACAAACGCTATTAATCATTCTTCAATTTGGGGTGCTAATCCTTCTACGTCGTCATCATCTATGATTCCATCTAATTTAGCAAATTTAGATTCTAAATCTGAAAATAAAATTTCTATTCAAAATAACTTTGGTGGCTCAGTGTGGTGACAATATTTCTTTTTTTTATATTGTTAATTCTTTATGTATTAGATTTATTGGACTTATCTTTTCGTCCATATGTCATTGGTTTTGTTTTTGCTTTTATATGTACATGCTGGTGTTTGCTGTTTTGATTGAAATATTCTTACAATTCCATAGAATGTTGCGTTTAAAATTATTGATTAAGGAATATAGAGGTTTTGTTTATAGGATTATATGTGTATTTATGCTTCGTTATTTATAAATTTATTTATATGACAAAATGAACCCAAATTTTCCGAAAAGCGCTCTCAAAATATTTCAAAATCTCAAGATAAGTTTAACAAATCGACAGATAAAAACCAATGGCTTCACTGACAGCAACGGTATCGCTTCATAACCTCGTGAAGCTCTGTTGTAAAAGGAATTCAACGAGCAAAGTATTTGTTTCGTTGTATAATCAATTAGAGGAAAAATTACCTATTAAAGATAATGATTATTTGTCGAACCTATTACAACCAGATATAAAGAATAAGTCTAAAAGAGAAAGAGATTTGAGAACAGAATATGTCTTAGCATTGTCAATATCCTCTGAGAGTCAATTGGAGAAATTCTGGAAATTTTTGCCTGAAATAGTTTTGGAAAATCAAATACGCTACTTGATCGAATTAAACAATATTTTACTATCCAAGTCAAATATAGAAAGACCTTCTGGTGATATATACAAAGAAATCGTAAATAATTGTTTTTTCAAATATACTTCCAGTTATGTATCAAGTTTGATTCCAGTCATTTCGGCCGCTCAAGTTTCCTTGTTAAATCATATAATAGTGGTATGGTGCTCAGTAATTAGGAGATTATCTTTTCATTTAAACACTAGTGCTTTCAAACAATTAGCGGTCAGAATTGTATCCCTTTTGACAGAATGTGACTTACAAAACTTGTTAAATTATTTCATATCAAATACTTCATCGATATTGAATACAGACGACTTGCAAGTTGACCTGATTCAGAATTCAGATGATAAGAAGATTGCAGCAATTAGAAGTACAACCACAATACAATTAGTCAATAATATATCATCAATAAATCCAAAATCTAGAAAAGCAACTCAGTTGAATATTATCAAAAGGTATCTTTGGTTGAATTCTATCATGAAGAACTGGAAATTTAATAATGGTGTTTTTTTGAAACAGTTCGAGCAGAATTTCCTACCTAATTCTCTGAATAATTTAAAGAAGCCTTACGTTCTTGCCTTTGAATTAATGTGCGCCTTATTCAGAGGCATTGTTACTTCAATTTGCTCGAATGAATCGAAGTACGTTTTATTTAACTGGAAAAATTTTATAATCACTAGACTTCCAACTTTATTAAATGGCATTAAATTTACTACGCAGCATGTTGCACCTACCTCCCATGATTCAAGTCCTAAACAGGAATCTTTGGATGATGCAATAATAAATGCATTTGAATCTTTTGAAGACCCGGTTAACAAAGTTTTAACACAATTCAGCATCGATAATTTGTCTATTTGTGACCTTCGCCAGACGTTTATAAAGAGTTGTATATACAATAAGCGTGGGTTCATATCATAAAATATTTGCGATTGAAAATACAATAACAGACCAATTCTTGAATAATGGTATTAATCAAGTTGGTCAAATAACGTCAATTAGAGATGAGTTCGAAAAAAAATTATTGAATATTAATACTGAGTTCACAACTTTGGAAGATTCGGGGTTAATCGAATACATAAATTCCTTACCTAGTTTAGTAGAATTCCTGGCAACTAAACAGTTGGAACTAAGTGAAACGGTTGATCGAGTAATCGAGCATTTAATTGATGAGAAAAATATCGAAAAGTTATATAGATTGCTATTATCTGTTTGCAATAATCTTACAACTTTGAATTTAATCTGTTTTAATTCGAATTGCGGACCCTTTTCGATATTATATAAGTTGATCAATTATATTGACAATGAAGATTTTAACGTTGACGATGACGATAATTTCCAAGAGACTTATGCCTTCTTCGGAATTATTATTCTTTCTATACTCCTAATTATTGAAACCTTTAAAATTGATTATTCTCAAATTTCAATTAATAATTCTTATATTATTGATTACATAAATGAATTCTACTACAGGTTATGTGATAATTTGACGAACATATCAACTTCAAATTCGGAAGAAGACAATACAATAATTTCAAATTACAATGATTTAATTAGTGACTGGATTAATGCGTTGTTTGATGATAATAATGATGGGCTTTCTGATGACTTAATTAAATCAGTCAATGTCAAACAAATTTATAAAATGATTCCTATTATATATCAACAATCAATTATTGCTACCAATTCGAATAAAATTGACATTAAGATATTAAATAATGGAATTGATTACTTGTCGCAGATGTTTTTGATCCCTTGTACTTTAAATATCATTAAATGGTTATTGAGGAAAATTTGGGCTGATGATCCAACTTTAGACTGTTTGCCTGTTCAAGTTTTGCATGAATTAATTAAATCTAATATGGGCGAAAATGATGAGCCAACGAGTGAATCGAAGCTATTTTTTCAAATAGTGTTGAAGATAAGTGGTAATTCGATAATATCAACCTTAAAGAAGTTAAAGAATTGGGAGAATTCTAATTTAATCAAGGGCATAATTGAAAAGGTAAGCAATAGTGTCGATCCAATGTATTTGGAGAATGGTTTGAGCTTAGAGTTAAATGAGAGAGTCAGTTTGTGTGAACAACTTAAAACGAACGTGATTACTTTAGTCAATAATGGGAACATTTATGACTATCAATTTTTAAATATATTCTCTTCCGTTGATAAGGACAACGAATTGATGAGATATATTGTTGAGGAAATAACTTCATATCAAAAGACAAGTGGCGGAAATGAAGATACTAAGCTATTCATTAACCTATCAATATTCATGATATTGCTCAACGCTATTGATACTGATGATGACAAGCAATATTGGATTAAACGTATTAAGGACTCTATGGTTCCTGTTAATTGCAATAGCTCAGGTGAGAATAGATTTGATATACTGATGGATTATCATTATTCTAGTATTTTTAACAATTCAGATGAAACATCTAATAATGATTATTTGTTTAGTGGTGAAAATAATAATTCTTCTGTAGAAATTGAGGGTTTGAAACGCAAAATTGGAAGGCATGAAAGCTTGTTGAACAGTTTCAATAAAAACAAGGAGCTTTGCGATACTGAAGTTCAATCTACATTTGTGAAATCGTTAAGAACATTTAGGGATAAATTGATAAATGAATTAGAAGTTTTTACACTCAATGTTTAGAGGATTGCGGTCATATCCTCTTTATAGTTCCGTTGTGAAAATTTCAAGGATATGTATATGGAATTAAATAATCAGTTAGTTAATGATAAATTAGGCTTTTTTACTAAGAACTTCATCAACGTTTTGAATTACTGTAATGTCAGCCAATGAATCTCTGTCTTCATCAAGATTAGACTTGGGGCCTGAAAATTTCTTATAACCGTAGGTGAAGTAATATACAAGCGAAAGAAGCCAAATTCCGGCATTTATAACGCATGTATAATTCATAGTTTCACTTGAAACAGACTTATTATCTGGGAACATACACATTATTATAACGTATCCGATCCAAGAAACGGTGGTGATATGAATTATTTCCGTCCAAAATTTTCCTAAATAGAACGGACCAGGAGTAAATCTTGAACGGCCCACAGGCAATAGCACCAATAAAACAGGCATTCCCCAAGCTAAATAATTTCCAGCTACGGCTAAGGAGAAAAGTGCGTTTGCAGCCGTGGTATCAATTAAGATAAGCAAACCCAAAATTAACGATAAGCTTCCACTGAATATCGTTGCTCTGACTGGAACTTTTATTTTTGGGTTTATGACCTTAACAAAGTTGTGGAAAAACGGTAACCCATCATCCCTAGCAAATGCCCATACTTGTCTTGAAGCAGCAATTAAAATCGAAGCACCCATGAGGTATTGTGCAAACGCAATTAACGACATAAATGCAACTGCCCAACTCTTCCCTAATGCATCATAAATGATTTGAGCCATTGCCAGGCCACTTGAACTTTCTAGTACTGACCCGACATCTCCATCTTTAATTGCAACACAAGCAACAATACAAATTATCCAACCAACTATCCAGCAAACAAAAATGGAACTTAAAATACCGATAGGAACTGATTTCCTTGGATTAAGAGCCTCTTCAGATAAATGCAAACATGAATCGTAGGCACCGATTGTCCTAAATTTGTTAGAAATTCATAATTTCGATGAAATGAGAAAAAAAAAGAATACTTACCAAATGGCTGGCATCCACGAAAGCATGAAAGACCAACCTTGATCCCATGTTCTAAAGTTGTCTATTTCTGTAAAAATGAAATTAGCGCTATTGAATTCGTAGTTCTTTGACACCCCAATAGGAATTGCAATAAAAAATAAAATGATGATGAAAACATTTATACAAATAGAAAATGTCTGCAAAGAAGCAGTGTGTTTCGTAGTTGCACAACAGACTATAATATGAGATACAACGCAAGCTGCAAAGACTCCATATATTCTTGCATTCGTAATGTCAAAATTCCCACCTCGACTAATATAAATAGCCGAAAGCAACTCTGTTGCAAACCCGTAGTTGATCAGACATATCCCTCCACACAACGCTAAAGAATTTGAACAGCCAATCATGAAACTTAATGGAGTTCTAATCAGATCTGGTGCATAGTAATTCGTCCAATAATACAATCCACCAGACGTAGGAATCAGTGAACTTAAGATAGACATCAGGGTTCCAATGCACAAAATAAATAATCCGCTTATCAACCAACCCCATGTTAAACCTACTGGGCCTGCCTCCAACCCCGTAGCTAAAGTAGATGCTATAGAAGGTAATAAGCCCATTATTGAAAATGCTATCCCGAACACCTGTAAAGAATTATATGATCTATTCAATTCTTGTTTATAGCCAATTTGTGCTAAAAGATCATCTTCATCGACAGCTTCATCTTGGTTTATAATACGAATTTCAGACCTATTGGAAACAATTTGGTTCAAGTGATCCCCAGCTCGAGATCTAATGGCTGCAATGCCGTGAGATGTAACCGAATGAATAGGAGTTTTGATGATATTCATTGCATATACTTAACATATACTATTATACATATACATGAACTTATTCGATCCCTAACCCTTTTATAGTTTAACTGTATCGTACATAATTCATCAACTGATAAGACCTGTAAAAAAACGGTTATCTGAAGGCTATCTTACTTGCCTAATTGGGAAACCGCTAACAAAAAAATTGCAACAAGTGATAATGGATATTTAAAACCTTTACGATAAAATAGGCTTCGTCAGGTAGGAATATTCTATAGAGTTCTAGTTCCAGTGGTTTGTAGATAGTATGAATTATTTTCATCTAAATTGTTTATGCAATATTTGATAATCTGTCTAATTTTACACATTTTGCACAAATTTCCCTATTTTTACATTATTTGCATCCTTTGTACCTGGTTAAATATTAACAAATACGTCAGAATATTTGTCCGTCAAGATGATATATATATATTAAACACAGAACATGACACTGATATAATCCATGAACTTACCAGTAAAAACTCTAATACTCTAATACATTAAATGAGAAAGTCTTTAGGCCATGGCTTAGAATAATTTACATTTTTTAACATTTCTTTCGTTTCGTATGCATATATACACCAAAGGTTGAATTATGGCAAGCAGATATCATCTTATTTTATGATATCATGAAGAATAAATTGGTAATATATCAAATAAGTTTCGAGTAATTGGCCAGATTTTTTTTTGGTGATAACGATAGAAATAAATTATTGACGCGTCACAGATCGTAAAAAAATATATCTAGTATTCAGCAAGCTAATTCTTTTATATGTACCATATCATTGTCCATGTCACAACCAGAGAAGAGACCACTTGAAACCGATTATCATGACCAAGCACATTCTCTCCCTGCTATATCACAGAGTATGATTAGCTCGCAAATAGAGCTTTCTGAATCTCAAGAACAATTACTAAAGAAAGTAAAGAGACCCAATGGTACGGAAGAGCCAACTGAATTTGAGAGAGAGCTTTTGGATATGACCCAGAATGCTAGTAAATTGGGAAATGAGGAAGATCAGAAGTGGGATAGACCTCCGCTTCCTGAAACTTTCGATCCTCGTTCTATGGATGTTACATTTCAACAATTAGATGCCGAAGAAACTACTGTAGGAGATAATTCATCAGCAAGATTTTTTGGAGTTACAAGAGAAGGGCATTCTGTGTTATGTAATGTCACTGGATTCTTGCACTATTTCTATGTTCCAGTTCCTAAGGGATTTTTTAAGGATCAGCATTTGTCAGGGTTTATTAATTATATGAATAATAATTACCAGGGTGTGCATGATATTGAAATAAAATTGAAAGAATCTATATGGGGTTATAATAAGAACTTAAAGACGCCATTTTTCAAAGTGATTGTCAATAGTTCGAAGAATATTAGTAAAATCAGAACTGCTTTTGAAAGAGGCGAAATCAGGTATGAGAATTTATTTCCACCGCAGAATGTTTCGTATGATAATATTAATTATCTATTAAGACTAATGGTAGATTGTAAAATCACAGGTATGTCTTGGATTACTTTACCTAAGGGTAAATACGAAATAGTGGATCCTTTTGTTCAAATATCCACATGTCAAATTGAATGTTCTATTGATTATAGAGATTTAATTTCACATCCATCTGAAGGTGATTGGTTGAACATGGCCCCTCTTCGTATATTGTCATTTGATATCGAATGTGCTGGTAGAAAGGGTGTTTTTCCAGAAGCAGAGCACGATCCTGTCATTCAAATTGCTAACGTTGTACTGAAGGCAGGTGAGCTGAGACCATTCGTAAGAAATGTATTTACAGTGAATACCTGTTCTTCAATTATTGGTTCTCAAATCTTTGAACATACGACAGAAGAAGAAATGTTGATGCATTGGAAGGAATTTATTGTCAAGGTGGATGCAGATGTCATAATTGGTTATAATACTGCCAATTTCGATATACCTTATTTGTTGGACAGAGCGAGAGCATTAGGGTTGAAAAGTTTCCCATATTTCAGTAGACTTAACAATGTAAAACAAGAAGTGAAAGATGCTGTATTCAGTTCTCGTGCTTATGGTACAAGAGAAAATAAAGTTGTAAATATAGATGGGAGAATGCAGCTCGATCTATTGCAATTCATTCAAAGAGAATATAAATTGAGATCGTATACATTGAATTCAGTTTCCGCCCATTTTTTAGGAGAACAAAAAGAAGATGTCCACCATTCAATTATATCTGATTTACAAAATGGTACTAAGGAAACAAGAAGGCGTTTAGCAGTCTATTGCTTAAAGGATTCTTATTTGCCATTGAGATTATTAGATAAATTGATGTGTCTTGTTAATTATACTGAAATGGCAAGAGTTACGGGCGTTCCGTTCTCGTACTTGTTATCAAGGGGTCAACAAATCAAAGTTATATCTCAATTGTTTCGAAAGTGTTTAGAAGATAATATTGTAATTCCTAATATGAAAAGTGAAGGATCCAATGAAGAATATGAAGGTGCAACTGTTATTGAGCCCATTAGGGGCTACTATGATGTTCCGATTGCAACATTGGATTTCAGCTCATTATACCCATCAATCATGATGGCACATAATTTATGTTATACGACATTATTGAATAAGCAAACAATTAAAAATTTCAATTTGACTGAAGATGATTATACATTGACTCCAAACGGTGATTATTTTGTCAAAGATCATAAAAAAAAAGGTATCTTGCCTACAATTTTAGACGAATTGTTAACCGCAAGAAAGAAAGCGAAAGCAGACTTAAAAAAAGAGACTGATCCATTTAAAAGAGATGTTTTAAACGGTAGGCAATTGGCTTTAAAAATTTCTGCTAATTCAGTGTATGGTTTCACAGGTGCTACAATTGGTAAGTTACCATGTCTTGCAATTTCTTCATCAGTTACAGCATTTGGTAGAGAAATGATTGAAAAGACAAAGAATGAGGTAGAAGAGTTCTACTCTATTAAAAACGGCCGCCCGTTTGATGCACAAGTTATCTATGGTGATACGGATTCTGTTATGGTTAAGTTTGGATACGAAGATTTAGAAAAATGTATGAAATTAGGAGAAGAGGCTGCCAATTTTGTTTCTACAAAATTTAAGAAACCGATAAAGTTAGAATTCGAGAAAGTCTATTTCCCGTATTTATTGATCAATAAGAAAAGATACGCAGGTTTATACTGGACAAGCACGGAAAAGTATGATAAGATGGATACAAAAGGGATAGAAACTGTCAGAAGAGACAACTGTCGTTTAGTTCAAAATGTTATTACTAAGGTGTTGGAGTTTATTTTGCAAGAAAGAAATGTCGATAAAGCCGTGAGATTTGTGAAGCAAACAATTGCAGATTTGTTACAAAATAGAGTTGATTTGTCGCAATTGGTCATTACAAAAGCATACTCAAAGCATGACTATTCAGCCAAGCAAGCACATGTTGAATTGGCAGAAAGAATGAAGAAGAGAGATCCAGGTTCCGCACCTACTTTGGGTGACAGAGTTGCATACGTTATTATCAGCTCATCTAGTACCAAAAACTATGAAAAATCCGAAGATCCATTGTATGTCTTGGAGAACTCCTTGCCAATTGATGTCAAATATTACTTAGAGAATCAGTTGTCTAACCCCTTGATGAGGATTTTTGAACCAATTTTGGGTGAAAGAAAAGCGAAAGAAGTGTTATCGGGAGCTCATACAAGAACAATAAAAATGTCTGCACCTAAAACTGGTGGATTAATGAGATTTGCAAAGAAGGCAGAACTCTGCAAAAATTGCAAATCACCATTAAAGTCATCAAACCACGGGGCATTATGCGAAAATTGTGTTTCAAAAGCCCCTGAATTATATGGTAATGCCCTAGCACAAATGAACTATTTGGAAAATAAATTTTCAAGATTATGGACTGAATGCCAAAGATGTCAAGGGTCTTTGCACCAGGAAGTTTTATGTTCCAATAAAGATTGTCCTATTTTTTATATGAGAAAAAAAGCACAAAAAGATGTCTTTCAACAATCTCAAGAGCTTTTAAAATGGGATGAAACTGTTTGGTAGATCTACTTGATGTATGTATCTACATCGTATAAAAATTAACAATAATTCGTTTAATAAAATAATATTTAAATTAAATCGTATGTAATATAACAAGTTTGACTAAGTAATTAAATCAAAGACAATAAATTGTGAGAGCAAGGCCGAAAGGCAAAGTAATTGGAAACCTTCATTTTCCCAAATAAGTTCCCATGCAATGTAATAATATAAAAATAGAAATGCACCAAATATTAATCAAGATATTCAATCCTTGGAGAAGAATTATCCAAATCCATAGAGTCAGATTTAGGAGATTTAGGTTTAATCGAAATAGCGCTCTCAGTGACAGACCTATTATTCATAGACAATTTCCCTGGTCTACCATTTACGAAAACATCGTTTGAGTTTGATTTTTTCATCTTTGGGCTTGCAAACGTAGCACTATCAGATGCCGGAGAAGTAGACAGACCATTGTAGGTACTATTACTAGTAGGACTAGAACCGATATTAAGTAAATTCGAGTTAGGGATGTCAGAGCCTTCTATTGATGATTTCTTCAAATTTTTGGCAAATTCTGAAGTTCGGTTACTATTATTTTGTTTTGACAACTCTTTTAATTGCTTGATATTATGAATACATTTACTAATTGTTTGCATCAATAATCTTGGTTTCAACGGTTTTGAAACATAATCATCCATACCTTTGGCTAAAGACTTTTCTCTATCACCCAACATTGCATGTGCCGTTAACGCAATT